CTCTCCAACGTGCCAGACGCCATCGAATGTGAGCATTTGCCCACTCAAGTCGGTTACGGCGACGAACCGGAGTCAGGTCGAGACCCCGATGAGGACGACGAGCATGCAGATGAGCTTCCCTGAGACGGTTTCTGACAGTTTGTGCAGAAATTCTTTGGTTATGCAAACCGATTGTTGCAGCAGCTGTCCGAGTGGCTGGTCTCAGACGATCTTGGAGGTGATGGTTACACGTGGTCTGCGGTTGTGAGGCCGGTTGGATGTACTGCCAAATTCTCTGAAACGCCTTTGGAGACGGCTTATGGTAGAGAAATGAACATTCAATTCACGGGCAACAGCTCTGGTGGACATTCCTGCTGTCAGCATGCCAATTGCACGCTCCCTCAAAACTTGCGACATCTGTGGCATTGTGCTGTGTGATAAAACTGAACATTTTTAGAGTGGCCTTTTATTGTGACTAGCCTAAGGCACACCTGTGCAATAATCATGCTGTCTAATCAGCATCTTGATATGCCACACCTGTGAGGTGGGATGGATTATCTCGGCAAAGGAGAAGTGCTCACTATCACAGATTTTTTCAGATTTGTGAACAATATTTGAGAGAAATGGTTATTTTGTGTATATAGAAAATGTTTTAGATCTTTGAGTTCATCTCATGAAAAATGGGAGCAAAAACAAAAGTGTTGCATTTATATTTTTGTTCAGTGTACTACATGAAATGGTTTCACAAAGTACACAACCAAGAATGATAACCTAAAGGTCATTTATGGAGTCAAGAAAATACCATGAAATTATGTTTAGTATTCTACACATTGCAACCACACAAGGTTTATGATCAGATGTGGAAAAGTGAATCTGCCATATGGAACCTTGAAACCCTCAGGAATGGTGCTTCAGACTATTTCAATTCAGGTTTACCACACAGAGAATCCTAATGCGTTTACTCTTGGATTAAACATTATCCGAACGGAAGTGGCATCTCTTGAGGGGTTGAATTTTAAACTTGGAGGGATTTTTTATTTTAGTTGGTTTTTGACACAGCCACTGCCAAGTAGAAGGGGAATGAAAAAACAATATTTGATAATTACAAGATTTTTCATTTTTTCTTCCACCTCTTTCCTATTTTAATTTAATTGTAATTATTACACAGTTGATGTAACAAGTTATATTCCAGCGTTGAGTGATCCACTGAGGTCTGTAAAGTATTCATATTCCCCCTGTGAGTAAAGCCCTCTTACCTTTATCCCCAGTAAAGCTGAGCATAATTGTATAACGCTGCCTCTACCTCTTAGCTTTTACAAGGCCGTGAAGAGGATTCTGCAAGGTTAAGGAATAGATTAGGGAAATGTTCAGATTCAATAAAGATTTGTCTTTCTCTTTCCACAGGATTAATGTCTATGAGTTGTTCTGTGTTCTTCACAATAGCAAGCAGCTTACTGTAGGTTTCCCTCTCCCTGTGTTAGGAGGCTTTGGAGCTCTTCAGGCCAGACTTCATCAGCCGATCTCAAGGTCGGGTGAGGAGGTTAGAGCGGAGGGTTTCAAAAAGGAGATTGCTGCAGGACTCCAATCCAGACGTGGTGCAGGGCCTCAGGGAGGAACGAGACAAACAGAAGAGAAACTGCACCACACCGGATCCACTTAGTGGTAAGTGCAGCTGAATAACTCTGCCTGGAGCCTGGAAAAACAAAAGTACAATTTCATATCTCTACAAACAATCAGGATAGATCATATGATAGAAGATCATGGGAGTTGTGGAGGAGTAAGTGTGGCATTCAACCTATAGGGATGTCACCCAGCAATTCACAGTCTAGCTCTCTCCCAAGAGTCAGTCCAGAGCTAGTCCTCCTCTTCGACACCGATCTGTTACGATGTTTCATCGGTCGCTACCTCGCTTCTGTAGGGCTTTTACACATTCATCGAATCCTTGAAATGTGGCAAGGAAAGCTACTTTATATGTGTTTTTATATGACTTTCTTTGCTGAATAGATTACACTGGGAAATAAGTAAATAAGTAGCTGGTGGTCATGTCGAATCATGCTGGCTTTTTAAGGGAACCATGGAGTTTCTCTCAAAAAAATCACAATACAATCAATAACCTCAGCTGGCCTCGAAAAATAGCTGCTTTTTTACAGTATATTGTTCTCCTTCTAGACTAGAGTCATGACAATTATCCAACTTTGCTCTCTGCTGGCTATTACCTAGTATTGCACATCAGTTACAGCATTTGATTTCTCTAAGGCTCTGTATGCAGGGAATACACAAGTTGAGACTAGAGGTGTCTAAAATGTGGGGTTTTGTTTTCTCTTTGTTCCAACTTTTATATCATACCAGGAATGGAAAAAGGTGAAAATACAACAACAAAGTGTTTTTCATATAGGAAACAGCATACACATACTTTTACAAATAATAACAAAAGTGACCTCAAACTGACAATAGGGACCCACGTAGAGGAATAATTACATGTCGAGTCTAAATCGGCGTTTGTCAAAATAGTTTATGTGCAGGGTATTATATATTAAGAGTAAACACACAAGAGTATTTTTCTTCTTCTCAGCCTGAAGCTGTCAGACTTATAAACTCTAACAAGGCTTTTGTTCAGTTGAAATGAATGCACAGCACATCCAACATTTCCTACATTAGTTTTAACTTAAATGTTTGATTCTCTGTCTTTGAGAAAATATGTGATTTTAAAAGCCTGATATGGAATTGATTATCTACATAGTCTCTCTGAATTTTATTAAATGCTTTTTTGGTTATGAACCCTTTTTGTACACATTCATCACAGCAGATTGTTTTTCACAGCAATCTTCTTTGCAGGAAATCCAACCCGACTCCTGACCGCTTAACGCTTGAGTAAAATATTATTAAAGTAGGGGGGCATAACACATTTCAGATAACTGAAAGTTTTGGAAGGTCATGGAGGAGTCATGGAAAGAAGAGCCTTGAAACGCTCACGCTGATGTCTGACTGAAGTCTGAAGTCTAATTATGAACAAAGAGTCTGGATCCTGTTAACCTAAGCAGCAAAACTCACTGCAGCTCAATCTGTGAGAGACAGAAAACTCACATTTAATACCACTGGCTATTGATGGTTGTGAAATGGATACGTCTTCATGTGTTTGTGTGTGTGTGGAGGGGGGTGCTAATGCTCAAAGGTGTCTGAATAAGAGGGATCAGACAGTCCTCAGTGCTCATTAACATATTATTCAAGCTTCATTTACATATTAATTCTTATTTGGTGTGTGTGTGTGTGTGTGTGTGTGTGTGTGTGTGTGTGTGTGTGTGTGTGTGTGTGTGTGTGTGTGTGTGTGTGTGTGTGTGTGTGTGTGTGTGTGTGTGTCCTAGATAACCTTTTCAAGCCTAGAGAGAGGTCTATATCAGGCAGAGAGATGCAGCTGAGGTCCAGACGGTGAGTTCTCCAGACTAAACCCACGTCAGACGATGTCACTCCGTCTCTCTTTGTTTTCTTTATTTAGCACAATCCTTCCAAAGCTCGTTTGTCATATCTGCCATGCGCAAACACAGCGCACACTAACACACTCTCACTCTGTATATGGAAACAATAGTTTTTTGATGCCCAAATGTCTTGACAGGAGATATGAACTAGCCTCTGTATACCTTATCTCTTTCCCCCTTTTTTCTGGACTTATCTGGAAAGGCACACCTGATCAGATGATGGCTGCCCATTGTAATTTTTTTTTAAAGAGACACTATCTGACTTGGAGGATCTCCTAACAAATTGGCTGGAGTTGTGGGAGTGAAAAAGGAGTCTGTGTGAGACCTGTTTATCAGTGGATCCAGGTTTGTGCCGGCTGTGGTCTCACTAGATAATACTTTGTCTGTAGCCAATCTGTTGGCATAGCTCAACCACCTTCAGACTTCTGATAGCATATTCCCCTGTCCTGTATGAATTTACCTTTTTGTGTGTCTGTAGGATTTACAAAAAGCTACCAGAGGTGACAAAGAAAAAAGAGGAGGAGAAGAAGAGGACCATATCACAAACCAACAGATTGCGAGCGGACATCTTTAAAAAGGTAGAGTTGGGGTTTAAATGTGTTACAAAATTAACCCAAAACATAAAATGTGTCCGATTCTACAATTCTCATTCAGAGAAATAAAAAACATAAACAGTACTGCAACAAAATTACCTTAAAATCCCCAAAACTGACACTGTAACACTTGCTTGAAATGTGTTTCTGAAGATATGGAGCAGAGTCTCATTTTCAAGTTGAATGATTTTTTTTTAAGAAATAGTGTTGATGAGGAGATTTTCTATGGAGCTGTAAAATGTTTTCACTGTATTTAAGTCACACTCAGTAACCCAGAATGTGCACTACATAGACATCTTATTAATGTGGGTAGGGATAAGAAATGTTCAAAGTAGAAGTCTGCACAGTATATTTTAATGCAACAATATCTTAACGTACCTAGTGTGTCGTCATATGTTTCTGATTTGATATTTATACAAAACACATCAATCCAACATATAAAGAAGAGCATACGGGACAGACAAGACATGAAAAATGAAACAGTAAAATATTAAAATACAAAATAACATAATTTAAAACTAGATTAAAACTAAATTGTTCAACATTATCACGCCTAAATATAACAAATCAGTATTAGGCTTTATGTTGGTTTGAACAAAGGTTTCATAGTGATTTAGTTTTTGAGTTGTAATAATGAATGTATACATGAGTATGAATGAAGACTGGATAAAATGACTCATAGTTTGAAAATCATCCAACAGAGGGCACTGTTTGACTGCAAAAGTCAGATCCATGGTCATTGGTCAAACTACAAATTAAACATTACAAAATGCACATTTAATATTTATGTCCATTACTTTTCCTTATATATATATAACATGCAGTTATTTCTGACTTTTCAGGTTTAGTGTTTTCTTCAAAATCAGATTAGAAAACCCTAGAGAACCTCCTAATAATTCATGCCAAATTGAAACCCTTACTTCATCACAACTAAACCCATTTCAGTCATTATGCTACGCTGTGGTCTTGGCTTTCACTGTACATTAAAAACACATAACTTAATTAAATGTAACGGATTTTAGACCCTGCTGACGTAATGCCTAGGACTTGCTTAACTATAAGAGGCAGAATCCACATCCTCACAATGAGGGGCATGTGGCAAATTAGTGATATATATTTAGGACATGAAGCATCAGACAAATCAATTCTTCAGCTTCACATGTGGGTGAGCCATCACTCATCTCCCATAATACCCTTATCCCAAACAATATATTTGCTGTCAGGTGAGATGGTAAAAGTGTGAAGAGATGTCTCCAATCGTTTACAGATAATTACACTATCATGGCAGCTTCAGGTTTGAGAGAGAAAGTGTGTGTGTGTGTGTTTTTTACCAATATGTTTTTCAGGGTAATCTCAAAATGATTGTCTTCTCTCTCGTTTTGCCAACCCTTACATAAACTGGGAACCGTTTTGCCTCGGGACCTCCAACAACACTCATTTTAAACACTGTACGACAGTAAATCAACTCTGTGGTTTACTGACACAACCAGCAATTATAGGGCACAGTGTGACGTCAAATGGCTCTGTGAGAGAACATTTTGTATTTCTCAAGGAAATGGAGCCGACTGCAACCATGCCAGCGTGACCTTGCCACCTCTCAAATGAAGCTATTAGCCGGGCACACCCGCAGTGAGATTGGGGGGAAAAAAGAAGTGTGTTCCACCACGATAAACGCCAAGTCGTGTGTGTGCTTCACAGGCGTCATTCTTGTCAGAAAGTCTGCAGCAGGGAGACAGGTTGAGCCCAGAATAGAGTCACACAGGGGTCTGATAGTGAGAGAGGTATAGGGTGGGTGGTTTTAAACGCTGGCTGAAATGAAATTCCTACTGTTGGGTTGTGCTGTGAGAGGAGGGTGAATGAATAGCAGTGTATTTGGACAGATAGCAAACTAGAATGATTCCATCCTTTCCTGTTTGATGCAGAGCTGCCCTTAAGAGACTGGGGGAAAGCAGGTCTGAAAGCAGATACATTTTTGGAAAGTTATTGATTACATTGTTTTTCAATTTTTTTGCAGAGACTTCTGGACCAGATACTGCAAAGATAAATTAGAGAAACCAGGAGGTGAAACTGTGTTAATTCACTGACCATTCTGGCTCTGATGTAAATTAAATAGGAATGTATTTAATTCAGTCAATCTTCTATGCAAATCATTTCCATGCCTTGGCATATATTCATTTTATTAAGGCTTGATATATATTAAATATCATGTTCAATCTTTACTTATTCTATCCTGACTGCTTAACAGTTAGAATGAATACAAAATCAGAAACACAAATTGGATTTTGCAGAACAAGACGATGAAGTTATGACGGTGACAAAAACACACATTTTGAGTAATTTTTCATTATTTTCCAACTGTGTAATCTTATTTGATATGTTCCAGAGAAGACACAATTCAATCTATGCCACAATGGCAAGGACAAATAAGCATTTTCTTACCCATATTAAACTGTATGGTATTCTGTATATACAAATTGTATATGATGTTCAATATAAATAACAATTGTTGTTGTGTGCAGACATTGACAAAACCTAAACTTCTGACACCAACACACACAAATGAGAATTAGGTTTACAGTTTTATATGTTGAAAAAATGCAATTATACCTTTCTTTACTGTTTAAATGAATGCCCAATGATTAAAAGCAATAGAGGCAAATCTTGGCTCATACCCTTTCTACTGTTTGTATTCCTTATCTACGATATCATGTTGCTCTAATGTATCTCAAGAATGAAATAAAAGCATTCCAAGGACATTCTGTGTAGGCATAGTGTTATTTTCCAGGAAATTAAGATTCTGCTTGGAGCCCAGCACCTTGACTATCATTGGTACGGTGCTCTGGGTGTGTAAAGTTGGAGAGGGGTCAACCATGTTGCGTCATTGGCTTCACGTCTGCCTCGAGGCCTGTGGATCCTCCCATCCGGAACACTGGAATTCCAAGCTAATCGAAGTCAGGAGACTCGCTACGCTGGTGAAAGGGAGCTTTTGTCATAGAGCTCCAAACCAGAGATGACATTGTAATAAGAGAGGCGACTACTGAGCACAGCCTGTGACTGCAGTCCGCATATAGCCCGTAAAGGTGACTGACATCTCTGTGGAACTGAGCCTGCTGGGCTAAGGAGGGAACAGGGGAAGGACATGTGCTGCAGGTCTCAGACCACCGCGCTGTATTAATGCATGCTGTATCTGAAGTTGACTTCTTAAGAGTAAATACTGACCGTGTTTAAAAACCAAACAAAATGCAAGGTTTAATGTCATACTTTACTTTTAGCTACTTTAGTTCAATCTCTTCTACTATGAAAACAACACATTGAAAAACAGTTAGTAACGTATCAGCAGTAGAAAGATATACAGTATCTAAAGACTATATAATAGCAATAATAAGTTAGAAAAACACAATTAACTTGCTACTGACAAAATGTAAACAAAGGATACTGTATACATTATACAAGTGTGTAATGTAATTGCAGTTTTTAACAGATGGATCGATTTGGGCCCATAGCAAGGAAGGAACATTATGTATTAAACAGTATCAATCTATCAGCAAAGTCAGTTTCCACTGACATGACTGATGGCTGCATGACCAGCAAGACAATTTAAAATAGTAATCAAGTGCTCTGCTGCCATGTGGGCTGGTTCTGGACGATGAGCAGAGACTGACAGGCAGCTGTATACGAGGAGAAGGGCTCCTGTCAGTCTGCCTCCCGCTCTCTGAGGCATCATGTGTCTGCATGTCACATTGCTATCTCCGCATAATGTGGACTGTGTACTCTGAGGCCCTTTGCTTAGCCTTGACTGACTTGCATGCCCTGAAGGAACAGCTGATATGTCTGTCTTAGAAAGGATACACTAGATGAGATGTATAGGGCTAATTGTGTACAGTGAAGCAGAAACACTGACAAAGAGTGGTTTGCCATTAGTCATTTCATTGGCACCCATCTTTTCTGGGTTAGGGTTAGTTTGGCGTCATTGCCATCGTTTCCAGCAGTGTCTCCGTTATATTTATTTTAATCTTTAACATCTAAGATAAATGTGCCTTGAAAGTTGTCTTATCACTAAAGAAAATGGTGAGCAAGAGGGAGGAGGAGATGGAGGTGTCATCCAAAACAGAATCAACTCAAAAGTTACAACAGAAAGCAGAGGGGAACACATTTAATATATCCTTTTCAAAGAGAAAGTTAGGATGGACACCAGACTCTGGCATATAACTTAAAGTCAGCTCTGGCTAATCAAATATTTTTTAAAGATTGAAGGATGAGCCATCCTCATCCCAGGGGTATTTTAAAGTGAAGGACAACTTCCTATTTTGATGGACTGAATATTTTTCACATACAATATTCTCACACTGAAATTGAATCATGAAGGTCTTTATTATATCTCAAGATAACAAACCTCAACCAAAACAAACACACTTTGTACAGGCATTTTAGAAATAAACTAAATTGGGAACTGAGGGTTCAACAGGTTAGAAGCTTACCAATTTTTCAAATGTCAACTTGTAATACCATCAGCGTACATGCATATATTATATTCTGCACAACTCATCATGATGTCCATTACATTACATGTAATTTGTTAGACGATTTTATCCAAAGCAACTTATTCAGTACTGTGGAAAATCCCCACAGGTGCAATTTGGGGTGAAGTGTCTTGCCCAGGGACACAACGACATGCTGCAGTGGGACTCAAAAGTCCTATCCCCTGATTTTAAGTCCAGCACACTACCTTGTTCAGAAAAGTGCATACCAAGAGAAGAAGCATAGTCAAAGCAGGTGATCACATGGGGAAGTGCTATGTTTTTGGAAATGTCCTTCCTTCCTTGTTATAGAGCATCTTTAGTTTTAAAGTTGAGTTCTGAGGTATAAAAAGAAGAAGAAGAAAAACAACATTGACAAAAAATGTTCATGAGTAAAATTTGATTTAAAAAAACTGCTTCTGAAAGGAAATGATTGTGTCTCATAGTTTCTAAATATGTTCCTTACATAGCTTCCTGGATCACACAAACTTGAATGTTCTACTAAACAACATAAATAATTATATTTAATTTTGAAATGCAGGCATCCCTCATGGTAGGGATTGTTAACATTATGTATACAGTATGTAATGTTGTAAATAATTTGTAAATGAATGTTTAATTGTTCAAATGTATTTAATGATGTCAATAAGTTCGATTTTAGTTTTCTCTTCCATTTGTGCATTTGATATATTTTTCCTGTAGGTCTACGTATTTTGTTTCTCATGTTAATGCACTGCTTTTCAATAAAGTTGTAATTTGAAGTATTTAGCTAGCCACCGCCAAAGGCTACGGCGAAACGCATGCACTACAACCGTTCTCTGTTCGCTTCACAAACTTCAGGCTGCAAACAACTATAAGTTAGCTAACTAGAGTTTCTAGCTTTTTACACATCATTTTTTACTTGCTGCCAAGCAGTGGGCTGCATCTCTAAAGCTATTTTTTTTTATCAAACAGACGTTTATGTCTACACTTTGTGAAGGACGAATTGCCGTGACTACGCTGTCAGCTAATGCTAACGGTAAAGGTAAAGACGTGTTTTGGCTTAACTAGCTAACTTGAGGTACTCTCTGGAAATATTGTACGTCAACATCTAATATTTTTACATAATTTGATAGGTACATACCTAAAGCTTCTTGGCGTACCTTAGTCTGTGTTTTATTAAAAAAAAAAAAAATTAGCTTGCGCAAAGTTGGTGATTTTTTTAGGCTAAATAGTTTACATTCAGTCGTTGGTGTGGTCCGGCTCTAGGACCCAGCGGAGCCTGAAGCGCACATGGCAGAGTGGCTGCTCCGGTCCTTGAGGAGATGGCGAGTCCGCTCCAACAGCCTCTCATTCTGCCTCCTCTCTCGCTCCTTGCCATACCTCTACCACATGAGCAACATTGGAATAACACATGTATTTGTACGTTTTCCCCACCGGTTGTTCCACTTTAAACGTGGGTGTAGGAATGAAAAGTTTTTGACAGCTTCTTTCCTGGAGTGACAGACTACCACACCTTCCTGGAGGTTTAGCCCCCGCCACACCACAGTGAACTACATTGGCCGCTACCTGTCACCTGTTTGAAGTGTTGGTCGTGCTGCTTTTATAACGCGGTGTGACCGGAGCGCTTTCCCCCGGTTTCACCTCACTGAGCCCGGGCATCATGAGAACCTGGAGGCGGCGGAAGAACTTTGCCTTTGTGCTCTTCGCTCTCCACGTCTGGTGCCTGTCCACGGCGAAGGAATATACTGACAGCAAGCTTAACAATACACAGGAGGGTGAGTAGACAACCTACAATTCTGTCTTAAGTCATTATGCTTATTTCCATGTAGTGCTGCAGATGTAAAGCCACAGTCTGGTCCATTGAACATGATTTTAGAGTGTGTTTGGAGTGCATTTATGTTACACGAGGATACAGTCAGTGCAAGAAGCTTGTTGTTACCAGTAGGGTTTACCTTGTTGTTGTTTATATGCATTTGTATGTAAATGACTGAGCTTTTTTTAAACATTTGATTGTACACCTAAAATACAAATACCACGTACAGACGAGTTTGACATGTATCTTCTCATTCAGCCCTTTGTAAATCTCTGGCTATGCATTTTACATTTGGGAAATGCAGAGTGTGTCTTTTTTTAGATCCATCATTCTGCTCCGATGGAACAATACAGGGAAGTTTTGGGATAGACAGATGAGTCTTACATCCAGGAGGATACAGCTTTATCTTTAGGCTGTAAACATGAACCAAACAGGATGTTATTATTGTTCAGCAGCAAACTTAATCTGCTGAATGAATGAGACAGTGATAATCGGGTATTGTATTTTTGGAGCAGAGCACGAGGCAGGATATCATTTTTAATTTTTGTGTCTTAGTTTGTTGTGTGTGTGGCTGTGCATGTAGTACCAAGACAAAACAAGAAGGATACAAACCGAAACATACATCCTGACAGAATCCCCCCCTTGTGAACCAAAGCTATATTCTCTGTGGTTAAAATGTTGTTGGGCTGCCACTTTGTTTTTGAGGATCAAGCATGCTCCAGTTAAACCCCGAGCCTGTTTTTCAGGCCTCAGGCTCGAAAATGACATTCCCAGAACAAATGACTATATCTTCACTTCTAAAAAGGGTAAATTAATCATCTTTTTTCTCAAAGCGATGATAAACCTGTGAATTGGATGTAGAAAAGTCAGAATCAATATAGAATCTTTTTATTTTAAAGTAAATTCAGATTGAACATAGTCCCCCAGTACCAGGGGCATGGGGCTTAAAAAAAGGTTGAACAAAAACTACAGTAAATGTAATTTTGATAAACTTATTCTCACATTTTAGGAGATAAAACAAACAAAAACAACATACAATAGGTCTGTTTTCTTCTGAAACAATATTGTATTTCAAAATTAGAGAGGCCACTTATGGTGCTAAGAAAAGAAGATACAAAAAAGTCCACTGTATGATACAAATAGAAGTTTGAGTCTTGTCTTAATAATTTAGTTTTTACTCCATCTTGCAAAAGTTAAATACAATGCAGCATGTGGAACACAGACTGCTCATTGTTCATGACTTGTTTTTTTTTAACAAACATGAATCCTGAGCATGAATAATATAAAGCCCCAAAGTATAAAGCTTCTCTGAAAATTACCCAGGCTGGCAGAGAAATAGAGAGATGTAGTTCAGGAGAT